AATATCCTTGGCACAATACCCGCTCTTCTTGGCCCGATGCCCGAGTCCACGGCCCGAAGCCTTCTGTCGATACATCGATTGATCCACCGGCCCGACGTCCAATCTTCTGACATGTTCCTCCGGCACAACATGATGTTCCTGCTTTAATTGTCTCATCCTGATCGAAGCATCCTGCGTCACTCAAAACGCAGATTAAATCATAAACATATATCAAGTAGTTTCATCATCAAAATACGAGATTCAACAATAAGATCATTTGAATACCAAAAGACATAATTCATTTTGATAAATATTCTCTTTAATAAAATGCAAGAAATTATTCGAGAATAAAAAGTGAGGGATCTTGATTCATATAAAGAAACTATAAAGTTTTGATTCCAAGAATTCAAGATTGATTATGATATAGATAAAACCCATTCAAATCGTCAAACCATAAAAATTACTTTCAAGAGATTTAAAATGACATACAAAGATTTATCATTTTCTTGTTGAAAAAAAATGATAAGATAGAGATAGAGAAATTTTCAAAATGCATTCCCTCTTTGGTTGTTTCAATTCAGATGTTTGATTTCATACAAGCATGCCCAAGTTTTTTTTATGCCAAATAAAATTATGCATCAATGTTTAACACCGAAAAATAACCTTTATTACGGCAAAGAACACAAAAATCATCATGCATAATTTCAAAATATAAATTCATTAAGCATGATTTCAAATCACTATGCATCATTAAATCATCAAGACACATTATTTCTTCATAAAAACATATATTAGGTTTATCTTAAGCATTAGATTTAAGTCCAACATTTTGTTCCTTTATCATAAAACATGCAATTTTCATGATCATTTTCAAAATTACTAGAAGGATAAACATGATTCCAATATTTTTTTAACAATTTACATATAATTTTTCTAAACTAATTTAAAAACAACTCATGAAATGCATCAAGTAATTTCAAAATAAAGCAAAGGAGTTTTGATTACCTCATTGTCAAAAGCCATTAAGGCATAGTTTTCCACCTCGCCTTTGTTGGTATGTTCTTCATCTTCGGTTGAACTTGATTCGTCCTAAGCCACCTTGATTGTTTTCTTCTTCTTTTGTAGCTTCTTCTTTTTAGGTTCATTTTTGTTCTTTGGTTCTTATTTTCAGAATTTTTTAAGCATGTAAGGAGTTCAAGGTCATCATCATCCTCACTTGAGCATCACTCAAGTGGTATTCTATTGTTCGAAGTGCCAAATCTTTCCTATTCTTTGAAAGGTAATTCTCATGTTCCATACAAGTCATTTCATAGGTTATCAAAGACCCGATAAGTTTTCAATCAGAAAATGATTCAAGTCATTTGATTCTTATATTACTATTATTTTCGAATCCCAATTTTTAGAAAGAGATTGCAAAACTTTATTAACAAGTTAAAGATTTGAAAAACTTGGGCGACGACACTGTAGTGGCGACCAGATCTAGGGCGACGGTACTGTAGCGGCGATGACACTATAGCGGCAACCAGATCTCCCTAGGGCGATCTGACTCCTGCAGCGTCGGCTTTCTCCCACGGGCGATGACACTATAGCGGCGATCAGATCTCCCAAGGGCGACGTACTGTAGCGGTGGCAACACTGTAGCGGCGACGAGATCTCCCTAGGGCGATCTGACTCCTACAGCATTGGCTTTCTCCCACGGGCGACGGTGCTGTAGCAGCGATCTGATCTCCCTTACTGTAGTGGTGATCGGATCTCCTGTAGCGTCGGCTTCTCCCCAAGGGCGACGATACTATAGCAGAGACCATATCTCCCTAGGGCGACGGCACTATAGCAGCGATCTGATATACTACGGTGGTGGCTTTTCCCTATGGCGACGATTCTGTAGCGGCGACCAGAAGTGGGATCAAACATGGCAGCGACGGCCCCAAGGGCTGGCGATGGTGACAGGAGGGTTGATACGATGGCAAGACTCCCTACCGTTACCCCTCAATCTGCTCCTCCACCATATCCTCTCCAAAGAGAAACTCCTTCGACGAAGCAGCATCGAAGTAGGTCACGCTCTAGATCGCGGCAGCCTGCTCTCATTTCCAGTGACCCTCGGCCGTGGACTAGCCTCTTCAAGGCTCCAGTTGGAAGTCTGAATCTAAGCTTGGAATTCTTTACTCCAGAAGTTCAGGCTGATAAGAAGATTGTTGTATACGAGACTGTTGATTCAGCAGAGCTTATTGAATCATGGTCTATGGCGATTGTTGGCTATGTGGTAGGTCTCAAAACATCTTATTTCCCACTATCCTCATTTATCAAAACTCGATGGGGAATATCTTCATTTGATCTTCATATGCTGGAGAACGGATTCTTTTTTTGCAAGCTATACTCTGAAGAAGATTTGCAACAGGTCCTTAAAGGATTCTGGACTATTCACGGCCATCCAATGATTCTACGACGCTGGTCTCCTGATGTCCGTTAGGAGTTAGATAGCTTATAGTCTATTCCATTATGGGCATCCATTCAAGGTCTTCCTCTACATCTTTGGAGTCGACGTTTTATTGCAAATGTTAGGATCAAGAGCACTAAGAGGGGGGGGGGGGGGCGTGAATTAGTGCAGCGGAAAACCTTCCACAAAAAAAACTGCTTTCGTTCGATAAAAGTGATTTCAGTAAGAAAGCCGATTCATAAATCACTTTAACTTTTGATTAAGCGAGATGCAGCAAAGATATAAATGCAGTTTGCAGTTATGGTTCAAATCAGATAGTAGGCGCAAACTGAAATATGATATTCGTACGAAAAAACTGATTTACGTTTAATGCTGATTCGTAAATCACTTGATTAAGCGAGATGCAGTTAAAGCAAGGATATAAAGGCAGTTCGCAATTATGATAGAAATCAAAACATAAACGCAAACTGAAATATGATGATCGTATGATAAAACTGATTTACGTATAAACGTCGATTCAAAAAGTGCAAAGCTTGAAACCTAATCGTATATGCGCAGAAAGCAGTAAGCTTTTGAGGAGGTTTGCAGTAAAGATAAAATGCTCAAAGTAAATGCAAACCGAGATTTAGAGTAGTTCGGTCAATCTTGACCTACATCCACTTTTGGCTTCTTCCACCGACGAGGTCATCGACGTCCACTAGAGGCCTTCCTTTAATTGGCAAAGGCCAACCACCCTTTTACAGTTTCACTCCTTTGACGGGCTTTGGAGACAACACTTATAGAATTTTCTCTCCTCTCTTTAAATATCAGAACTTGGAAGAAAAGAGGGAGAAGAATTTTTGGCTTTTACAATAATTTTGAGCTCTAAAAATCACAGAATAAGATCAGGATTTCGGTGTGTTTGAGTGCCCTTTCAGTGCTGAAAGGGTGGGGTATTTATAGGCCCCAACCCAGTTTGAATTCCGAGCTCAAAACTATCAATTCTCGAAATTCCGGGATCTAGCGGTTGCACCGACTGACAGAGGCGGTTGCACTGCCTAGTAGAGCTCAAAGACTGAGCCTCTGGGCGGTGCCACCTCCTGTCAGG